CGGGCTCATAGCCTCCCCAGTGCTCGCCAGTACTCCGCAAGGAGGATACGGGTACGGGGATATCACCGACACAATCGAGGGCTCCTCGACGGATTCACCTGCCAGCACGGGGCTTCCCTCCCCTATTGTACCTATCACTGTCACGGACTCGATCACGGTGACGAAGCCGGCCACCGTGACCCATACGGTGACTGTATCGCTACCAGCCTGCGGCCCCGAGGAGACGACGACTATTGAGGGCACCACCAGCACCACCATTACTACCAGGAATACTATATTCGTTTCGATCCCTGCATCGTCGGAAACTTCATCCGAGACATCCAAGGCCACTGAGACCCCTGGGACCCCTGGGATTAGCATCTCAATTGCCACCGCTAGCGTCCCTGCTTCATCATTAGCTACCAGTGCCGTTGGGGGCAGCACTTCGTCGTGTGATACAACTGCCAGTAAGCCATCTCTTGCTATATTCCAGCATCTCATAGTACATGTTCCAACTGACAATTCCCCAGCGACTGACGACATCGATGGCGTCACTGGCAGCGTGCCAGGCTATCCCAACCCCACCCTTACGCCTCCCTCCTTCACGCACAGCTGGGAGACATCAAGCGCGGTGAAATCCGGGACTGCCAAGAGCACGGGCGGCGTTGGCGGGACGCAGACATCATCTTCGCCAGTACCCTACGGAACCATCACCACGTCGATGGGGAGTCAAAACGTGGTCGTGGCCCAGTTCCTTGTGGGCGCGATGGGCCTGGTATCCCTGGTCTTTTCCATGGCTCTGTGATCACAGATGCAGTAAGGGGGGATAACTAGGGATGGTTGTGCTATGGATAATGCCTGGGCTTAATATTTACTAATCCCTTTTGTTTAGCTTCGTATGCATTATGTAAGATTGAGTTTAATCAGATATGTAGCTCTTTAGTGATTTGATCTTCAGTTTATGTCACCTTGTGCATGAGGAATAATCATTTCATTTCATTTCACTCAATCTCTCAAGGTACGGGTTTGAGAACATGCAAATACAGTCAAAGTATGAATTGTGACTTGAATAGAAAGCTTCGCATTTGTGTAAAATATAAGCTATGAAGTGATCAACAACTTCCCATGTAGCTGTGAATATTCATGGTGGAAATCAACGCCAGAGGTGCTGCAAAATAGCCCTCGACAAACAATTAGATTTTTAACTCCCCGGTCTGAAATTGGTTGTGAGCTTCCTCGATGCGGTCTTCTCAGTTTCTGGGCTGGGTGTGATTTCCCTTTTCTTCCGTGGGGTGTCGGTTGCTGGGGGATAGTAGATTTGTTCATATAGACCATCCTTCATAGGAGTAATACTGATCATGCTTTCAGGTGGTATATGGCTTTCCAGGAGAAAATAGTTCTTTAGGAAACGGAAGCTCCTACATTTGCCAGGTTCGTAACCGAGCCGGCACGTTACCTGGAAGGCATCAAAAAGTCGCTGCTCTTCATGATTCCATCCCGGACCGTCAGTAAAAAAAGCAATGACTCGGACTCCCGTGCATCCATGTTCCTGTAAATATCTGACGATTGCGTCTTTTTTATCACGGCTCTGTGTGGCTGAGATAAAAGGGCTAAGGTGGCGACTTCGCTAGTTTATATGTTTATCAAACAAAACCTGGAATGTTTCATGCGTAACCTTGACAAGACCAAAACCCCGTGCCTTCATTCCGCCATGGGGCTGTCCGTCGTGTACGACGCGGTAGAGGATAGGGGGGCGATCTCGCCCACCGCATGTGGATATTGGCAGAGCTAGTTGTTCGAGAGCGCGACCCGTCCTGAACCCTCCACGGCTAGCCTTCTCGTCAAAGTCTGGAGTGCTTGGGTATGCTTTCTTGAGCTCGTCGTTGCCTTCCTTGTTCCGCCATAATCTAACCTTCATCGGGGTAATTGCGCTCTTCACTAGGAACATATTGGTATTGGGCCTCTCAGATTGTAGCACTGGACTCCTCTCAAATCGAAGCACGTCAAAAACCTGGACCGGTACTTCGCCCATTTTGAATGCCGCGCAATTCTCTAAACAAGAGAATAGAGAATGGTAAGGCAGTGATCAGAAAGTAGGGGCTTTGTCTAGTAATATCGTGGCGTATACGAGCGCAATGAATGCTAACCTCTTGATTACGTGCCTAGGTTGGTTTGCCTTGTCAGTAGGTAGTACGTGATGAGTTGCTCTACAAGGACTGGTGGGTAATAGATGCTACCATAGACCACCGAAGGGATGACAGGTTTGGATGCCAATATCAGGATCGTGAAGGGTTGGTATCGTGCTCTGATAATTTGGTCAACTCAAGCGACCGCGGGGTAACAGGAAGGGGTAGGTTGGTCTGATTGAGTGATGTCGGCCATGGGCTACAGCTGCCAGGTACTCGTATCGATTGCTTGGATGGGCAGTGGGAGAAGATCCCCGTAAACTATGCTTTCTGGGTAACTCGAGTCGATATGGTGTGTGATGATGAGATGGAGAGATTCCCGTCGAATGCTAAACCGAGAGTTAAGAGGTACTTCGCCTAGGTCATATTGGTAAGAGGCGAGGTAGAGGAGGAAGAGACACAGGAAGAATGAACCTACCTATAAGCGTGCTTTCGTCAAAGTGAGTAACGAGCCTCAGCGCATATTTTATTCCTTCAACTGCTGGACTGCGCGTACTGGTGTTGAAAAGAATGAAATTCAAGCACGATGATGTGTAGTGGGAGGTGTGAGAGGGGGAGATGAAGGTTGAACTATCAACACGCTCTTCCCTTAAATGAAAGAGGAAGGAAGCTAGGCTGCAATCAGAAGATCCCGCGATAAAGCCTACGATTAGAGCACGTACGCTTTTCGTCCGAATAGTAGTAGCAATGTTTCGCAAGAGATGTGGAGAGGGAGATGTAGAGAGAAGGATGTAGAGTGGGAGGGAGAAATAAATGTAGGTGAAGATGGATAGGTGTAGAGGGATGAGTGTAGAGTAAGGTGCAAAGAGAGATAGGTGTAGAGTGAGGTGTAGAGAGTGAGGCGTAGAGAGGAAGGTGTAGAGAGTAGGGTGTAGAGATTAGGGTGTAGAGAGTGAGATGTAAGGAGAGGGGTGTTAAGATAGCATGTCACACTCAGTACGGGCAATGCGCCTTCCACATGTCGAAGCGATGTATATGGAGTGTGATAGAAACCCCGTGATTTTTGTGTAAAGGTGATCGGGAAGGAGATGAGCGAAAAGGGGCGAGGATCTTGTGATGAGCCTTTTCAGCTCTTAACTGATAGTACTCTTAGCGATGAAGTTGATTTTGTAAGATAAAGTGCCTGAGTAGAATTTAGAGGTCTATGGTGAGCTGTTTATGGTAAGATATTGGAAAGGTATTGGAATTGAGTCTTCACGCTGCCAAAATGATTATGTAGTGTCGGCGAATACGTGAGTAATATGAACGGTGTAATCAATGTTAAGGTTGATGGTGTAAAAACGAGACGTATTTTACTAATATAAGTGACAGCCCTTCTACCTTTTATACGAATTTTTATAATAACAATTGCACGCATTTGCTAACACGAGTGATCTCCGAGTTATGATGTTGTGATCTAGCAGTCTTTTTCATGTTCTATCTCCTCAGCGAAGCGTGTTACACTAACATACTCTCTTCATGTCTGATTTCCCCATCACACAATAACCGAGGTTGTCCCTTCTCCTGGAATCCGTGGGCGAGCCTTGGAGCTTCAAGACTCTTGTTGTGGTATATCTAAGCAAGAAGCTTCTATGCGGTCTATTTCCCTCAGTGCACTACCATGTCCCTCGTTTGGGGGGTATAGGCATGGACCGTTCGCTTCCGTAGGTATCTGATGTCACATGCTAGAAACAGCTTAGGTAGTAGCTATTAGAATAGAGAAGTTGATCGCAACGAGGACTCGTTGGAGTCTATCCTTGGAAACGTTGCCTGTATGTGGGTGTCTACAATTCTGGTGAGAATCAGCTTCAGATACTGTATCTCCCATGCAGGTCAAACTCGAGCGAAATGAGACTCGACTGCTTGATTTCTAGATAGGTTAGCGAGCATCGACAATCACGAGAAGCATCAAGCACGTCGGGGGTTGCAAGTAAAGACTAGACAACCACAAACGCCAGGATCCCACTCCTATGATCAGGTAACCACCAGGCAAGGTGTGTCTCGAGCGGGCGACAGGGACAAACACTCTGTGACTGGATATGCCTGGTTCCTATTAAGGCCGAGTGGAGTGAACGAATTAGGTCGAGATGCGCAGTGACATTGCCTCTGCGCATGGCACATTACCGGGAACGTATAAGCAGACTTCCTGAGATAGTCACTACGGGCGCGGTCGAGTGCCTCCTAAATACGAACACTGCGTGTAATGTCGCAGATGGCAGCGCTAAATTCATGCTAGCTACAGGCACATACCTGTTGTGGGAGAATACACAGCATGCAGTGAAGTTTAGCAGAACTTCAACTTAAAACAGACTGCTGCAGATAACCAGTCGTATATCGTCGCCAAGCTAGACCACAAATAACACGTGACGGTAATACCTGCCGACACGTACCTCTCAACAACAGAACCCAGACAGTCACGAAACACATTCTTCTTCATGTCACCACACGAAGTGATGATCACAATGAAAACGAAGCATAGAAGAGAATCAAAAATTGCGGAGATTGGGACGCACGAGGCATCGACAAAAGGCGGAAGGCGACCACGATGTGCAATGCAGGCCCGCCAGCCCTGAGGATGGGGAATGTTGAGCCCCCTTCTCTCCCTCCAAGGTAAGTATGAAGAAGAAAAGAGAAGAAAAGGATTGAGAGACTGGAGGACGGAGCAGACATTTATAGGGAAAGTTTGAGCGGTGGGGCCCGGCAGAATTTACAGGTGGGGGACCCGCAAATAGAGTGAATGTGCCTGCTTTGTGGTTGGTCGGTTACTTGGTCGGGCGACGAATTTCATTCACCACTTCTCCCTCCCCCAAGCCTTGTGTGTGGTCTTGACCTAACATAAAGTCGTTTGTCATCATGGCCCTGGTAGCTCAATTGGTTAGAGCGTCGGACTTTTATTGGCTTCAGCCTCTCAGAAGTTCATCCGAAGGCTGCGGGTTCGACCCCCGCCTGGGGCGATGCTTAACTTTTTATCCATCGTGCGCGTTCATCGTCTCTTTTTTAATTCTACATCTTCTTCTATTTTACCTAGTTACGGGCAATAATACACAGACTTTTTTTTAATTGTCCTACGTACACACGTAACACAAGTATAGCCGGCACAAGCTTAAAGGTAGCTATATATACTACTGAGGATCTGTCTATCCTAAACTTCAAGGTAGACAGAGAGACAAAGTTAATATGGCCTATCTAGCCTTTTACTTTGAAAGATGCTCAGCGGGAACTGATCCGCAATCGCCTGATACCCCGCCGGGTTCGGGTGCAAGTGATCGCCACTATCGTACTGCGCCGCCAGGTTGGCCTGGTTCGACGGGTTGGCGAGGAACTTGGCAAAGTCGACCGCGGCCGCATAGCTGCCGTCGCCGCCGGCCAGGATCCACTTGTTGACGGCCTGCCGCGCCGCGTCGCGCGCGGGGCTGCTGTAGGCCTGCCCGGTGCCGCCGAAGGGCGTGATGGTGGCGCCGAACATGGTGATGCCCGCGGCCTTGGCGTCGGCCGAGACCGTCTTGAAGGCCGAGTCGAGGCTGCTGCCGATGCGCGACTGCGTGCCCGCGTCCGCCGACGCGCCGCCGATGTCGTTGACGCCCTCGAAGATGAGCCCGTACTTGGCGCCCGCCGTGTCCAGGAGGTCGCGCTTGTAGCGCTGCAGTAGCGGCGGGCCGAGGCCGCCCGTGAGGACGGTGTTGCCGCCGGCGGCTTGGTTGACGACGGCGATGTTGGTGATGTTCTCTTTCTGCATCCTGGCGAGGAGCAGGTCCGGCCACCTATCGTACGAATTAGCGTCCACGGGATCATCGAGTCTTCATCGTCATGAGTAGGTCGAACCGGTTGTTCTGGTTGTCGGTGCTGCCTCGACCGTCCGTGATGCTATCACCGAGAATCACCAAGGCGGCTGTCGACTTGGGAGCCCAGGCTTCGACGGCATTCAAAAAGTACCAATGGGCCGTGTTCGCGCCGGTGACGGAAGACGCGTTCACGGAGTTCCCCTGTTGCATCCACGAGGTTGTTCGGCTACCAGGGTGGCCCGTGATGCTAGTTCCCGACTGGCCAGCTTGAGAGTAGAGAGTGACAGTGATCATAGACTGTGGCTCGATCTTGACGTCGATGGGGTCCGTGTACATCACCTGCCCTTGGGGGATGGTTACCGAGCTGGCGCCATTGAACGTGAGCCCCCGGAGGGTTTTAGTATCGATACCACTGACACCGGCCTGACCACCCGTCGGGAGAGCTAGTGACGCGGCTGTGATGGGCAAAGCGCTGCCGCCGAAGGTGTTGGAGATCCGGATCCGGATTCTCTCGGCACCGATCGACATGTGGAGTGTCTGCCGGAGCGTAGCATCTTTGAACACGCTGCTTCCTGTCTGTGCGGAGAGAACATTAGACGCTAGCCATGGTAGATGTAACGTGACGAGACTGTTGTTATTGTTGCTGTAGTTATACTTACAAAGGGAGCCGGAGGTAGATTGGCCTGTTCGACCAGCTGTGGCATAGACGTCCACGTGGCGACCCAGTGAAAGTCGGGATCCTGTCTACACCTTAGCTCCTGGGCACCCAGGGGCGATGCCGCTACGCATGATGTCCATAGTAGACACGCTACTGCGGAGAGGGCCTTGAGCCTCATGTCCCCGAACATCTACAGGCGAGACGATGAACGAATGTCACGTTCTGTATGCTATGGTATGTATTGGGCGTGAGCACAGAACAGAGAATGCCGAGACAACGACCATCGTGAACAACAGCAAGCAGCATTGGTACCAATTGGGATATTTATTCCGTCCGCGAGGCATGACGCTGTGGGGATTACCCCAGGTTTACGGACAAGCAGGTTCCGATATGGAGTTTTGTCAGTATTTAGCCGCCAATCCCTTGAACACGCTAGAATCAATATGTCTAGAGCGCGAGTAAACATGAAGGGAAATGGGGAAACAGGACCATTATGATATGATTACCGTAGTTTTTATTACGAAAGAAAGGAGAGCGATGGAGTGACTTTTACCTTGCTCAATATATGAATAAATAGTATGATTCCCGTCTAATACTGATCGATTCTGACGGTGTTGACTTGCTGTTTATAAAGGTAATTTGAATTGCCTACATCTATCCATCCATCCGGCCTTTCATCCAGATATATAAATAATATCGCGTTCTCTTTTCCTTTCGTTTTACGTATTTGCATCTCTATCTGCTTCTTGTTTACTTCTTAGTTACTCATGACTTCCTTCGACTTCCTTCGCATTTACTCTTTCCCTCCTCAACTCGTACAAAAGAGAAGCCAAGCCGGTCCGATTCCGCGGGAGAAGCGGAAGATACGCGGTACCGGGTAGGGCAGACCAGGCACAGCCTAACCGCGTACGCATAAAACATATGTAAGTAGCATGAACAAGCTGCGTGAGCATCATTTCATCCCGCACTACTTACTCAGGTTCTGGCCTTTTGGTGCTTTCTCTGCAGCTGCTTATCGGGTCGGGAAGTCGGTGCTGATACGCGAGAGAGCACAGCCGACTCTGACATGTAGGACCGCAGGAAGCCTATGTAGCAGCCACCAACGCTGGCCACACACACGCCACGTCCACGCAAGACCCTAGAGAGAGCGCCGTATAGGTGCGTGGTGCGGGCCGATGATACTATTGGATGCACTATCTAATTGGCTTGTCGCCGCGGAACGGCGGTGAACTGGAACAGCGCAGATCATGCTACTTGCTGCGCTGTTATAGGGAGTTAAAACAGATGCGCGTACGGAGTATCTAAGTGTATGCAATGCTCGCATCATCCTCTATAAAATGTTGTATTAGACGAGTATAATCAATCGATCACGAGTACCCTAGAGAGGGCGCCGGTCAACATGGATTTTACATGCCTGATGTACATATATGTACGCTAGAGGCGGGAGTAGAATACTGTACATCATCACATACATCATACATGTAGATAATTGACCTTCAAAATTAAACAAAGGGCGCGAAAAAAAAGGCATTTTTATGACATGCAGATGGATACTTTAGGTAAGGTAGCCTATCCTCCATCCACTATATATTTCAATATATCTAATATGATTGGGCAATTTACACCTGTGGCCGTACTTAGTTACTTCTCAAGGTACCTAATCGATAGCGTGCAACCCCACCGGCCCGCAAATACGCATAATCGACCCTCTTTAGGGTAGCACTGTAGCGCATATTATACAGCTCCGTCACCGGCTCGCGGGTGGCGGGCTGACAACCCAAACCTTACAGTACGCATTTGCGTACATGCAACAAGCAAGCTTCCTTGTTCAGAACTAACTCTAATGTTCACATATATATGTCAGATAGCTGCTAGCGATGGTTAAATTGTATGCATAAATTGGACAATAATACTTGATAACCTTGGATCCGGTTGAATACTTGCACTTTTCAAAAACTATCTACCCAGGTGCATATAAGTGTACTGTAAGTGGTGTGGAAAACTGCCTAGCAGGGGTCTAGCTAAAGTCTAGAGCTTGAGTATAGCTAGGGAGGTACATGTACTCCCCCCCAAGCTTACCCCGCCATGAGGTATCTCTTTCACTACTAGCTCGCCGAATGAGGACTTCACGCAAACTAACGACCTGCCAAGGTACCTCATTTATTTACTTGTGCCCTTTTTTTATTTATTCTTTTTTTTGCTCTCAACTTCATTGGACTACCTGACTCATTCCTCGACCAGGAGAGAATAAATCCCAAATCCCAAATCCGTAACAACACTGCATTGCATGTGCTTGTCCTACATTATCTCGACTACTTTACTTACCCATTCCAATACCTCGCATCTCACCTCACTTTCTGTCTTACGCTGCCTACGCAGTACTTGCTGTCTTACCTGCCACCACTTATCCTCTTGAGATACCCCCTCCTCCCAGTTCAATTGCCATTTCTCTTTGCCTACCACTATTTCCCTCTACCTCGTACACGTCGCCTTGCACACGCTGCCTCTCTCGAGCCAATTGAGTAGCTTACTGGGGCAAACAGCCTAGACTTGCACTTTACAACAAGCCACCTAAGCATCAGGTATCGGCTTGATTGTTGCGGCCATCGAGCAGCCGTAAGGGATCTGCTTTTTTCGAATACTACATTCTTCCGTTGGGGCCCAAATCCCTGCATCAGGATGCCGGGAGTCGACATGGAGCTGCTCAGGGCCGATGATATGAGAGGTACGTAGCAGATAGATCTCTAGCTTGTTTTTATTTCCCTTCTCTCTGGTTTTCTTATCCGTGCCTCTGGCGCTTGTGTAACTGATATTGTCTGACTATGCGGTTGAAATGTATATCAATCAATTGGCTGTCCTCGGAGGATTTGCCCCCCCTGGTTCTTTACCTATCCTGTAGCAATTCACGTCTTGAAACATCATTTTGGAAAGCAAGACGAGTTCCGAGTGCTCGCCATGCTGACATACGTCGACACACAAGTCTTGGGCCAGGATCCCCTGATCCAGCCTGCCCTCCTCATCTCCGACATTCCCATGACCGATGCCTCGCTCCTGACCGTCGTCAAAGGTCGCCGTGAGGCCGTCTCCATCATCATGGGCCGCAGCGATCGGCTCTTGGTCATCGTCGGCCCCTGCTCCATCCATGACCCCACCATGGCTCAGGAGTACGCCGGCCGTCTCAAGGCTCTATCCGAAAAGCTGTCCGACGACCTGTGCATCATCATGCGCGCCTACCTAGAGAAGCCCCGTACCACGGTCGGCTGGAAGGGCCTGATCAACGACCCGGACATCGACAACAGCTTCAAGATTAACAAGGGTCTGCGGTTATCGCGCCAGATGTTCAGCGACCTGACGAATGCCGGTATGCCCATCGCGAGCGAGATGCTGGATACCATCTCTCCCCAGTTCCTTGCCGACTTCATCTCGGTCGGCGCCATCGGAGCCAGAACGACCGAGTCTCAGCTTCACCGAGAGCTTGCCTCCGGTCTGTCCTTCCCCATTGGCTTCAAGAACG